CAGATATAGAGTGACAAACGTGTGCTCAGAAGGTGGCAGTTAACGTGCTACGGTAAGTCTGTACTCTTCTTGCAAAGCTCTACTGTGTTATAGATTTGCAGAGATTGCACAACACAATTTCCAAATCGACTAGATGTTCGAAGTACCTTTATAAACGACCTGGCTATGATTTAGGTGATTAAATAGTAACCTCTACAACCTTTATAGAGAAAACAAAGCAAATAAACAACACGTTCCCTTTCCGTATCGCTTATATGCTAACAATAATAATAATAACCGTGCCTCCCGACCATACCTGTGTTGTACCGCCGTAGTAAAGCCACTGTAATAGATTGTAGAAATATGGTAATAGGTGACCGCACCCTCACGCCCTCTATCGTAGCTCCTATGGAGGCGATAATTGCACACTATTTTGTAATATATTTACCCTTAAATAAAAGTACATTTCAATGCAATTGAAATATAGAGAAGGTAGTCTCCTAGCTTTGCAATGGACGCAAAAAATTCCCGTGCCTTTCTCCTCGAAGAACTGGAAAATTCAGTTCTGGCACTGGAGCTCGCAATGTTGAAATATCAGCAAGGTCAGCTGTTCATCTTCAAGACTTTGCCGATCTCGGACAAACGCTACGGCGAACCGGTGCACATTTGTTTGTTTGGTCATGATCAGAAAGCCCAAGACAAGCCTACTTTAAAGTGGTTAAGAGTCGAATTCCTGTTGCCTCCGTCCCTTGACCTACTTCCATATGAATCTCCTCTTCCTCTTCGGGATGATCCTCTGATTAAAAGAAATTTTAAGAACAATATTAGGAAATATCGACCCAAGTTACTCGAAAACTAGCCCTACGTAGTTTACCACTGGGTTTGGAACCCGGAAATTCGAATCATTAATTTTGCTAAAAATGATAGCAAAGCTACTGAATAGTAACGCAGTGTGGATAAAAGGATACCTTGAGGAAAATGGTCGTGACTTTTTTTGGCTTTATCAGGCTGTCCACCCCGGCAGTTTTTGGTGATTCGTCGCTCAGGCTCGCATTCCGCCCCGCTGCGGTTAACTCCGGCCTCTAACTTGAGAACTTTTGTGCGCAGGTTCGTGCGCGAATCGCACTTGGACCACGCTGCAGAACGGTTGTATTTACAGCCTAAAATGTATTTAAAGCAGCATTATTTATGACTTATTTACACGAGTACCCTGTGGACACCGTTGCCCATTGCACATTAACAACCGACCATTGATAAGAGTCACTCTGTCTTCAGTATAGTTCTCTTCTGCGGGATAGCCATTGTTCCCACTAAAGAGCAAGCTGGGGAAACTACGAAAGTTAACTCGCCTTTATTATTGTTAACCCATCCTACCGAGTTTAGTGGCCTTGCATTTACGGGTCATCATCCGAGTTGGCTCGCAGCTATCGCGCAAAAGCTGCACCTGTGCGGGCGGAAGGCCCTGTTTGCTGAATTTTAGCGTGTCTGTCCGAGTCTTCAGACCAGTGTGAGGGTCACATTCACTCCATGAGCCCTTTTTATAGCGGCACACCACTGAAACAACATGGGACGCAAGTTGGAATTATGTTGTTTCCTTCTGCAAGGCCCGAGCCGTCTCAGCATATCCATTAGAATCCAGCCAGCCCGTGGCCCACCTAGGTTTTCTTTACGTTAGTCAAGTGTAATATTTTTCACTGTTGAAAAAAATTATTGTTCTTTTCAAAATTTAACCTTGCATACAGATGCCTAATATTAAGAGTGAAATGTTATCCGCTATCACTGTTAATTCTAATCATGCTTGTTGGGAAACGGAATTCGTTTCCCTATTCAGTATTAAATTTGAATAGCAATGATGATGAATGTTACCTGTCCTCTGTTTGTGATTGTGACTACTTTGCCCTTGACCGGATTTGGACAAACGACAGGGTCGTGTTATCTCTCTAGTAGGCTCGCAAGCGGGATTATTTTTTTTTAAAACTAACCGACGCCTCTGTATGTTTGATGCCATCTCGCACTCTCCCCAAGGTTCCTTCTTATATTTGCACTTCTCTACAAAGTCACACGATAACAAACGAACAATAACCGAAAATTATGTGTATCTCACTAGTGCCGGTAATAATAACAGTGCGTTTAATCATAGTATAGGTATCGACTAAGCAAACAATGAAAAAGCTACAGAAAAGTTAGTTCTTGTAGCTCCACCTCCACCACCAGCGTTCGTGCTACGCCACACTATGAAACTCTACTTTCTTTGGCAAATCGACAAACTAAACAATGCGGTTTTTGGCAAGAAACCTGTGCGGTGTAGCCCTTTTTCTTGCCTCCTCGTGAAGTGTTATTCTCAAGGCTGTGTCAGGACTCAGTTCGTTAATGACGCGTGATAGTATTCTCCTACCTCTGTAACCACTCCATTTGTCACTTGTTCTAAATATCCACTGCTGAGGTACATTGAGGGCATGAGCTCTGGGAAACGATGAGGAAAGCATAAACCAACGAAGGCCAGTTGTATCAAGGCAATGACCCAAAGATCACTAATTTCTGGCGCCCTTATGTGCGTGCGTTCATAGCATGGCGTTCGAACGTGTTCAACAAGCGGTTCCGTGGCAATGATTGTCTAGCTAGTCAGCGTTCACTGTCCCAAATATGATCCATCATTTGCGATGTACTAACTACTCGACGTTAACAATCGTCACTGGTCGACGATAACTAGATGTGTGTGTAACATAGGTGTGACGACAATGGGGTACGACGAGCCGATATATCATAAAGCGCATCCGTAGAATCTGACGCCTCGCGTAAAATACAGCGCGAACAACTCTGATGACAGGTAGCATTGCATTCATAATGGTGAACGGCCGCTTATGAGTTGCCTGGGTCACTACGTGGGCAAACAATTAGGGAGTGTCTAGCGCCTACTGGCGCAGCAGAACGTAGAGAGCTCCATATCATGCGAAATACAGTGTGACCGGCATTGCCACGTCAAGCAACGCAGCTAAATCGTTACGGCCGATTGGAATGGCGGCTAAAAATTGGGTCTCATAATAGATGACATCTCAGTGGTGTTGTGAGTCATTTCCGCTTGACACGAATGCTAATCTTCGCTCCGATGCTATTTCGGCTTTTGAGATCTCTGCAGACTGACCATAACTACGACCACGATGATTGAGTTGATCGGGCTAGTTGTGTTATAGCTATTTTATTCTGGTGTTAAAACGAAATTACAAGATTCAATAGAATCAGCAGCTTGTGGCACATTAGTATCGACATAAACATCCGCAAATAGTAGAAGGAAAAGTCTGGCTAGACACCCTAACGAGGCAGTTTGTGGCAGGTAATCTATTTCGTCTAGTAATCACCCGTAAGGGCTTTTACTGAACGTCTTCATTACTCTTATTATTGTTATAGCTTACCGCTTTGAGGTGGATTGGCCTGTCGCCGGAAGGCCTTTCCATAACGCACCCGCTCTACTCTCGAAATGTGGAAGCGGTCTTCATGTGAGCTCGGATTAAGCGGCGTTAGTTGGATCGCAAGTGTCGAGTCCAGCGAACGAGCGGGCGCTGCTCATGTATTTTTGCAGGCAAATCGCAAACAAACGAACACTGATTTACACTCCTCGGGCCTTGTTCGTAAATAACCGTCTCGAAAGTATTGCTATATAAATATAATTAATATTCTCGTTTGTTAATCAAACTTACCATGGCTAATAGCTCGCTCGAAGGTATGACTTTGAGTACCTCCAGGGGTTACCAGAAACAACAGGCAGTTTACCCCAAGCAGCACTCCCTGAATGATGTTACGCAACATTCTCAGCCCCCTTTAACACTCTACAACGAATAAGCAACGATAAGACCAGAAATGTTATGATGTGTTACAATATTGAACTTATTTACACCTTTGTCACGTACATTAAGCGTAATGCTAAACAAATATCGAACGACATCACAGAATAGTTCGACCCGTGTTTTTATACATTTGCAAACGAAAGGCACGCGCTAGCTTTCGCTTCGCACTTTTGCCAGTCGATGGAACTGCCGAAGCGTATCGGTGAGCGAATCATTCTGTTTATGGACGAAGCTATATAACGGTTAGAACTCCTCCGTGAACTTTGTTTTTCCGCGTGGACCACCGCTGATGACGCATTCCACTCTAACGGGTCCGTCTGAAACGTATCGTCAGTCCTTTCTCCCTCTGCAGAACGTTGTCTTGCGTGCTCGCGGACAGAAGATCGATGCAACTGCTAGAGGTGCCTTGTATTCATCAGCAATTTGCTTTCCCTTTGTCCTTCATCTATGCGGGTTAGTGCACGACTACATTCGTGTATTTCAACCTTGTGGACCTACTCACCGTGTGAGACAGCCGTAGCATATGCGCAAACATTGCTTTCTCGGCTCTATTGAATAATGGCGTCACTGGCCATATACGCATGGGACTATGCGTATGGTTTAAGGTAGTACTCTAGAAGTGCTGCTCTGTACTGTCGAGTACGTAGAAGGGCTTCGATCGACGCCGCACACCTCACACGTTGCCATTTACCTAATGCGGTTACGGCAAAGATGATTCGGCCATGCTTTACTCGATCGATTGACAGAGTGCATTCATCGGTAGCTCATCGCTAGCCAGCCGTCAATGCTTACCACAGTGGACAATGTAAGACATCAACGTTCATGAACGTCGCGTGGATCGCGGGCAGAAGTTCACATTAACACATAGCCATTCGGCTACATAGATATTACCTCGTTACCATTTAGCAATCGAATCTGCTCGGAATGATGGCGCTTTTGAAATAGGGTCCGACACCAACTACTCAATCGGTTGTGCCGTCAAAGACTAAAATACGGCTCTATTATATGGGGATAGCCGTGGAACTGTACAGACCGTGAAAACAGTAAGAACTTTTACCGTTATGTGATGTAGGAAGACGCACGGTTCGGCCACGAGTTCAGCGGGCCCGAAGTCAAACTCGCTCTCCAAAAAACAACACTAATCACGTTAACAAATTACAACTATTCGAAGTTAGTCAGATGCTACACGTACGCGTCTGATTTCCTGATCGTGTAGAACCCTACACTCGAGAAAGATCACTCAGTAAACGGAGTAAGAGTCCCAATTCGCATCTATATCGTCCCAGTTGTAGCCAGAGGACAGGAACGGGATTTGAGTCGATTGAATTGAAATTTCCGTAGATTTAATACATACATTTTTATATAGCGGCCGGTGTCTTTCTAGTGACAAGCATTGTCAATCTTCCCTTTTTCAGGTGATCACTGACTGTTCGCCTTATATCAATAGTCGTTTACAATGATTTTTCATGAGACGTTTCGAGGCGACAATGATAAGTCGTTGTAAGAGGCACCCATATCACGGATGCTACTTTTCTAGCTGATTACCGCTTCTGTTTGTAACGATGTAACGTAATCTTCCTCACCTTTTTCCGTTTGCTCGAATAAGCAATCTAACTTCTGATACAGCTGTAGGTAATTATCAACAAGCGTAAATGGCGCGTACCAATAAAGATGAGATTCTCTAACGTACACTTGTAAAACACATTATTATTATTGCTACGGTCGTTCTTCTCCGAAATAACAGCTATATTGAATCGAGGTATCAAGAGACCGTTCTTAAGATGTAGGATTTTTTACAACACAACAGATCGACAATGTATAGACTTCGTGCTCCGCGCGAGAGACATGTAAATCCGTATTAACGAAACGTTCCTGGCAGATTAAATGGAGTCGATTCGGTAATAGTGTGTTTCCTGTTTATAGGCTCTTTTTCTTGAGGGAACACAATGCCGTTAGCTGCGAAACGTAACGAAAGGGCGCAAAATAAAGAGCGACCTGAACAGTATTCATTGTCCTCTCTGGAGCGTTATCTCTTGCCCCAGCGCGTAATACGTTGCGCCATAGCTCGTACGACACGCACGATAGCCGGCGCTAGTGCAATCAATCGCTTAGAGCGAATCCTTTCACTGCTTCGTAGCCGTCTTCACTATAGCGTCACTTGGAGTTTACTGAGAGACATGCGCTCATACACACGCGCTAATCCCTCCATAAACTCATCCGTACTGTCTCTAAAACGACTCGAGGTTCTACAAGCCGTAAGCCAGCGGGACGGCCGAGCACAATTTCTCTCATTTTGTCTTTGTCGGTTTACCCAGGAACGGAGAAGCTTACTTAGCAGGACAGATAGTAAACAACACTGCGTTGATTCAATTAACGCGAGACCAATCTTATACATGTACTGTGACTGGTGAACGTGCGCATGACCGAGCGTATCCTACTGGGAAGCCACTTCTAAAGCCGACACTTATGTGGACGTAGAAGCATGAAGACGGAACGTGTTCGTTTGAAGGGGTCACGTGAATGACTTATTATCTAGTCTAATTTATCAACCGATTATTATAGAATTGATTATAAAAGCAGTTGTCTCTGGCAGTATTACATGTTTTTTTAGTCTTAGGTGTATTGCGTGTAAGTTGTTGACGGGAAGCTCATGGTGTACGACGACAAAAGGCTTAGTTCTTTTACAATTGCTATTGTAAATCCTACCGCTCGACTGCTACTTAAATATTGTAAACCACATAAGCTGGTTCATACGAATCCTTTTACGAACGTCTTATAAAAGTGTCCTCAGTGCTATACGCTTATTTCACCCGAAGTAGGTTATCACACACTGTGTAGAACACCTGCATCATGTATTTCGTACTATTTAGAGCGCTCTCCATTTACATCATAGCAGCGGTACACTCCAACAGGCAAACCAGATGAGAATATATGTGTGGTAATAAATAATTTGTCGATAGATCGATGATGGGCACAGCTGGATTCAGAGGCTTGCAAAAAAATTGTTGAACAATGAATCTTGTATTGAAATGAGAAGGCGTCATAACCTAGCACCACCCCCAAGGGGCGATCTCATCAAGTAGCCTATACGTTCACACGTGGAACTCACCTGGGCCGGCGATTACCCCCCAAGATCGAATCTGGGCTAAAAAAAGAATTTCCCGCCTCTCTTTCTTGTCTGAGCTAGCTATCGCATGCTGTCAATGAACGATTTCGAGAACGTCTTAATTGTGTTCCTTAATGCCGGTCGCACCCAAAGACTGTCTCTAGCTCATATCGACTGTTGTTCAGAGCAGACGTCAAACTTCGATGCCCACTATCAAAGCCTGGCTTTTTAATAAGAAATGTTCACCGTTGTGCAAGCAGAGCCCCACAGCAGATGACCCCTGCCCATATAGCTGAGCCCAAGCTAAATGTCTAGTTTACGTTGACAATTACAGGTCAGGTATCTTGGAACGATTCACTGGTCGATTATCTACGGTGTCTTGTTTATTTTCAATGACCCTTCGTTTGCGTTGGTTTGCCCTGTTTTGGTGAAGCTACCTAATGAAGGTCCAAAGCGAAAGGTCACTTCTGGTCCGCGATTTCGACACAGATGGCAATATCGGGAAGAAAGGTTAACAGAAAGAAAGCTCACGTCGAAAAAATGCGTTCATAAGCCTTCTGAGTGTGCCATACCGTTTGTCTATTGTATTCTCCAATAATGACTGAAAATACCTTAGAGGATTCAATTGAATTGAATGTATTACGACAAAAGTCCAATTGCTTTATATGAACGCTGTCCTGCTGCAATTCATCGTACGTACATGTGTAAAATACGTGCCACAATCCCTAACTGGTTCCGGCCATGTTTAAACGCGGCACGTATCGACGGCGCTTAGATTCGAAAATTTATCAGGCGCTTATATAATAACAGTCCGATTTCCCTCCTAATTTGCTACTCGTATCTAACTAGCTCAATGCTGGTTGACTCAAGAACTGGGCGAGGTATCTCTATTAAATAAATGATGACGCATGCTTAGAGTAGACGGTTTACATGGTCAATAAAATGGTACTCAGAACGTCGATTTAGCCAACAGCGTTCTCTTTTTCAAGGTAAGCCTTTTGCCAAACGCGAATAGACATCTAACAAAGACAGCGTTCATTAACTAGTAGATGAGTGAGGATTAGTCACTTTGTCAAGTATTTACCTCGTGGCCCATTACTGAAGCCCGATCAACTACCAGTTGCAGAACACATCCAGATGTATCTAGAAGCCTACACAACAGGCTCGATACTTGGCAATAGCGGTAAAAACACATGCTTTCTATTCAAAGTAACATGCCGTAAATCATCTCGCCGGAATAGGGGTACTAGCATCACTTAGTGAGTCCCCAAATGGTTCATTCCTTATGGAAATCTCGTTGGAGCAGTGATGGCATCTTGGTGGAAGCAGGTTGAACATTACGATCGGGTGGATGTATTGCGCGACGATTGGCTAAATTTACGCAACATAATTGACATTTTCATTAATTCAACTTCGTTTGTATTTTAACTTTATCAGCCTATTTTGCTCGTGATAAAAATTCTGACTTCTTCGATTGTTTTCGTTGACCTGGAACCAATCTGAATCTGAAACTCGAGGCGCTATCATCATGTCATAGGCAATCACTGGAACAGCTTTGAGCCTAAAGTCTTATAGATAAAATGAATGATTCTCGCTGGAACCCTATAATATTCAGCCTTTGCGATTCCAGCAGGCTTTGGGGCCAATCCCACTGGCACCGCTGCGAACCAAAATATGAAAATGTTGTTACAGACCTTAATATTACGCGGCCATATCAAGTCAACGTGTGACATTGGAACGTCTAGTGACCACGTCAGAGCACCGTTAACCTCAAGGGAGGACTAATAGATGAATAATCGGAAAAAGCCTCAATGTAGTGCTTTATATTGCGCTCTGTTTGAACATTATGCGGTGCGTACATACGCGTACGTACGTTGTGTCATAGCTGATACTGCCAAGCGTTCGATTCGTATAGCAAAGGAACTCAACTAGTTGTTCCGACTACGTGCATATATTGTTTATTTAATACGGAAGTATTGATTCTGTTGCCTATATATCGCTTGTTTTCTGTTTTGTATCCGAAATCTCGTATACGCCTACAGACAAAAAGGAATTGCGCGCCATGGAAGTAATATATAGACGTACTGCAAAGCATCTACCGAAAACGGTCTCGTTCATCCATATTAGCTGGCTAACTACGATGTTTTCCGCTGTGTTTCCCATCGTATTGTTGCCAGATCTGCTGACTATTTATAAAATATACTATACAAGTACATTAGGTTGCACTATACGCATGTTATCAAGTCCTAGACTCGACCTAAGCGTATAACTAACGAGAGGCACGCAATACGCGAAAAGCAACTATGTCATGATGAAAAGATTTTCCGTGCTGTAAGCTAATATTGCAAAGTGTCTAGTAGTCTGAAAAATCAGTGGGCCCGAGTTAGTTCGCACGTCATATAGACGCTGTTGGTTGCAAGCGAATGAAAAAAATCAGACGATAAACCAGGGAAAAAGGAAATAGACGCTAGGAAAAAACAAAGCTGGGTGACGCTAGGGCGCGTCTGTCGGAAAGTCACAGATCCATCGGCTGGCAGCGGGCTTTAAGTCGCTTGAGAAGCCCAAGGGCTCAGGGCTGCGCTGTTCCTGATACTATGACGTACAATGACGGTACGGAAACCATACGCCAAGGTTAGGTCGCTACCGTAAGACTATTGGCGCAGCTACTACGAATAGCGGCTGCATTGACGTTGCGGTTGCGTTAACTTCTGTACGTAGCCTTAGTTTAAAGGCTGGCGAGATGCCAACGGGAAACAAGGAAAGCTCACTTCCAACTTGCCTCGTTGGATGGACAGGCCAAGGCTGGCTGGAGAGAAGATCTGAAACGCGCCCTATTGACAATGATGATAATGTTCGCCTGTACCTTTCTGTCGCCTAGAGGCCTCATCGAGGCCTGGTCGCCACTGCGACTCTGTTGGGCGAGATCGGGCCCGCCGCTTTCGTTTCCGGGACTACCGAGCACAGGGAGATGACGTCAGCGGCATTCGGGCGCCGTCTCGAAAGGACACGGGTCACCGGCTTATGAAGAAAAGGTCATCGTTAAGAGGGGTTCGGTAGTTAATCGTTGTCGGTTTGACGCCAGTTACTGAACGCCGCGAAAAAACTGTCTGTGGAAATTTTGGCGACGTGGCACGTCCAGTTGCCCAGATATTGAAGCTTGTAGCAGAGGCAGTGGCATCCTTGAACGTAGAACGGTCGGCCCTAACCGAAAGCGTTAGTGAGGCGCCGGTCGTTAGTTGAGATTGGCGTTCTCACAGAGTAGTCTTTAGAGAATTCTGTTAGAGCCGGAAAGATATACAACATTGCTTTGTCCATTTATGGTCTGGCACAAGTACTTTTGTAGACGTAGCACAAGTACTCTACAGTACAAATTTCGCTTCGTTTTTTGGAGCACTACTAAAAAATATATGACGCATCCTTTTAATGCTTCAGCTGTCAACGTTTTTCCTGTTAATAATATACGGTAGAGCCGCTGGTAATGTATGCGCAGAGTAATCGACACAGCCATATA